GTACTAGTGTCACTTGGAAGTACCAGTAATCATTGATTTCCTTGCGTGCCTTTGTTAAATTCCTTGCATTTGACCTGATTTGATCCCCCAAACACTTGCTTATCTGATTGTAAATTAAAAATCTCTAAAAGTTCTGTCAGAATGCATTTTACCATCAGTAAAGCTCAAAGGAGGCCAGCAAATCTTTCATCAAATTCCAAAGCTAACACAGAATTAGTTCAGACTGTTACAAGGCTGCTATTTATAGGGCACGCTTTGGGTTTCCCACTGAGTAAAAGGTTAGTTCTCCATTTCTTGAGGGTTTTTATCAGCAATGATGATTTACATTTATAAACTAATGCAGATACTTGGCTTTTAATTCGTCAGACTGAACACAAACAAGGGAAGGAGGTATCTCAGGAAATAAGAATTACTTAACTAAAAATATTCCTTAGTGATGAATGTGTAGTTCATGTTTCTCTGCACATTTTAGTAAAACATTTACATTCTCACATACTGAAATATTGTTCATTGTTTTTAAGCAATGTTTTTTAAAAATAAAATTAAAATGAGTAATTTTCTTAACCTACAATTGAGGAAATAAAAATCTCTCAAGCACCAAGTAGTAACTAATATCCTCTAATGCAACATGTCAGTCACATAAGTGTCTTTATTACAGCTTTAGAAATACAAATATAAAAAAAAATCCAAGAAAAAGGATCTACTGTTTTAAATTAATAAAGATTAAAATCTAATATGCAGCAGAGAAAAAACAAATACCAAAGGGTTGTTTGAAATAAAATTAAAAAACAAAAGAAAGCAATATAAATATAAACTAGGAAACAAGTTTATTAAATCAGAAATAACATAATCCAGGATATTCTGTTGCCAGTATTTCCTTTAAATTCTTGGTTAATACAGGAAAATTACCATGAAACTGTTAGAGAGGGCAAAGTTATAAGCTCCACTCAAATTAAGTAAAGAAAGAAATAAGGAACCTAGATGATAAGCTTAAAGTGCCTTTGTGGAAATAATGTCTAGAAATGGTGTGCATATGCACATGTGCACCCACATCACACACACACACACACACAGAGGAGACAAGCAATTAAAAACCTTCACCATTTCAGAGTTTCAACTCTTATTCTTTCTAACCCACATAGCAACATAGTTGGGCCTCAGACTAGGGTCACAGGAAAATCAGATAGAAGAAAGATGAATTTCTTATTTTTGTCTTTGTTCATTTTACCCTACTTTTTTGTATTTTCTCAGCCCTAAATTTTGATACAATTTTCTCCCATGTAACTCTTGCCCTTTAACTGTATTTGATTGAAACATCTTTTTATGATTCATTCAACTCTTTCATAATATATACATAACAAAAGATGTACATCTGACAAGACTGGATACTACTTCAAAATTGAATTCAGCTTTGTCTACGTAGACAAAGCTGAAGAAGGAATAAAAGCACATGCTTTACACACATGCATCTACATTGTTGTAGTTTATTAGTGTAAATCAATCTTCATTTATCTATAACATGTCATGATTTGGAAAACACTGCATTTTAAATATAAAATAATGCTTACACTTGATTGCAGCTAAAACCTACCCTCATTTTTCCCATCATTTAAAGAAGATTTGAAAAAAGAGTCATTTTAAACTAAGATAAATTAAATTATTTCACCTTTAAAGTGACTATGACAGCTTCTGGATATGCCAAACCAACCATATGATAGGACTTTCTGTACATCCTAAAAAGAGAAAAATAAATGTATACATAAAAATTATTTACTCACAGTTCTCAACTATTTCTTAAATATATGGGAAAAGATTACCTTTTACTTGTTCACCTTTTATCATTAGTTACAGAATTCCTTTGAAGCAACAATGATAACTGTGGTCATCACATATTAAGCATATACAACGCAGTAGATGTTAATAGTATTTTGTTTACTAAAATCAATATAATTTTAGTTTCTATGTAAAAATAGCTTTACCTTGTCTTCATCTTACTAAAAGGGACTGTCCTTTGGGCAAAGACAATATTTTCTAGCATGCAGTCACATTGATGAGTATTCTTGTTCTGTGTCCATTTATATTCCAAAAATTTCAGTCTGGACATTTCAATGTCATTAAAATATTACCTTTATTGATTTCTTTTTCCAAAATGATAATAACAGGAGGGAGTATGTATTATTATTAGAATTTACACATCATTTCATAAGTTAGATAGTGGTCTCCCTTAAATTAATTTTAAGTATATTGATAAAAAAGTTGGGTCAGGGCCTCCCTGGTGGCGCAGCGGTTGAGCGCTGGGCTGCAAAGCTGCCCGCAGCCTCTGCAGTGCCGGTTCAAACCCCGGCCACCGGCGAGGGTCCCACATGGCGTGCAGACCTCTCCTGCCACACCCGCTGCTCCCCTTAGCAGTGTATCTTGGTCCTTCTGCCTGTTCTGCTCCTTGCATTGGCTCTGGTGAATTCTCTCACCCTCCCACGCTTCTGATTGTACCCACTGCTTGTATAAATAAATAAATAAAGCTTTAAAAAAAATAATAATTCCAGCATTTAAAAAAAAAAAGTTGGGTCATATTACATGTATTTCACTTTAGAAAGCTTGGTGACTTGACCTGATGCTTCCTTGCTTCACTGGCAGAAATGTTTAAAAAAACTATTTGATAGCTAATATGTGAGAACTTTTCTTCTACAATGGGAAGAGGATGGCCTTTTCATTAGTGCAGAGAAATTATTGCTTTATTCTGTTACATAGTATAGAATTTATTTTATGAGATGTTACATTTTATTTGGGTAAAATTGTGTTATTTTTGAATGTGTTAGAATCGTCACCCAAAAACCTTTGCTTTTAAGCTATGCTAATGTGAAATAAAAATTAAGTCCAGGACAAGACATTTTTATTATATTTTAGTTCATCATAAAGTCCCCGCATCAGTTCATTCGAGATAGTCGTATGATTGCATAAGAATAACTCTATAAGTAAAATAGAGGACTTTTACAACTTTCATCTAGTAATTTATTTGTTGCCTCTCAAATTTTATTGTCCTGAGATATTACAATGTCACTTACCGTTCCACAAAAATCCCAGCTTGAACAACATGCACAATGCTCCGAAATCTTGGCTTTTCCTCAGATTTCTTTTTCATCATCCCCATTTTTCGTGTAAAGGTAGAAGCCAACCAGTCCCGGACTTCCATTGGGACTGAATCTGACTGAATGTCACTAAGCTCATCTTCAGTATCCAGCAGTCGTCTACAAAAATTCATAGCAATTAAATTTTAGAAAAAAAGTGAAGAAAAACTAATAACAAAACAAACATTGCAACAGGATTTAAAATACACACAATCACTCTGTGATTGTTCTTTAATAGAAACTACCAAAGGAAAAAAAATGGTTGGGTTAACATTTGGAAGGCACTGAATTTCTCAATTTGATCATCTCTGAAAGCAAAGGACTGAGAGACTTGAGAATTTGAAGCTTCTCAAACATTAAGTACCAGTCCAGGGGTACCAATGTCATTATCATTAATATACTATTGTAATAATAAATAAAAATAGGGAAGAAAGTTCATAATCAGATAGCTGCTATAAAGGAAACAAGTATGTAAAAAGGGAGGGAGTGGGCTGAAGCTATACTTGTCTTATATTTAATAAATGGTGTATATGTAATACAGATAGCTCATGTTATTTGAATAAAGCCACTATCAAGCACTATTAACTTGATAAGTATCTCTAAACATTGGGAAAATAGTAACTTTAACTACTCTGGAAGATATTTATTCTCATATCAATATCAAAGGTTAGAAGGTGAAAAAAAAGTAAAGATGAAAACAAATGGGTTACTTGAAAGCTGCTTTTAGGGTGACTGAGCCAGTATAAGCGGAATAGAAATATCACTAGTTAAGAGCAAAAGGTGTCTTGAGGTTAGCTATCTGATGGGTTCAGACAGCCAGCTGAGGAAATCAGCTGAGGGAGGAAGTGAACTTAAACTGAAGCCACTCCATAGAAGCTCTTTTGTATCAGCTCCTGGCAGACAATGTCAATTGGACTGAATGATAATAGCTGTATTTGTAGAGGGAACCAAGAAAATGTCCTCATTTTAAGGTTGGTCAGCTCCAGTGATCTAGAACTTCCTGAATGTGTGAGCTGACAAGATAGTCTGAAAGGCTCCCCACAGAACACACACAGCTTTACAGAGCAATTAAGCTTTGCATCCAGAAGAACAGAGGTCAGATCTGCCTGCGCCCAACTCAGTTATTTGTGTGTCAGTTCACCAACTTAATAACTCAGAGCCATTTTTGACACACTTTAGCTTTGACCTTTGGAGGCAATTCATTTGGTAAATCTTTCACCACAGAGCGAGGATGCAGGATTATGAGCTAGCTGATGGACAAAAGAGAAGCCAGCATGTGCTCAAGTCTTCAGAATAAGTCACACATCATCTAGAGAGGGAAAGACCACAGAAAGGGGGGGGAAAGCAAGTAGCTCACCCCAAACATTCAATACTAACAAAAAACAGGTTAAAAACAAGATGCAAAGGAGTAAATCTTATTTCTCTAAATGACCTCTTTTTATAGGAGATAGTCAATTGTCATTATTTTTCAAGGTATTACAAAAGCATGAATGCACTTATGAAATAACATAAAATAACACCTTAAGTGCTGCAGTTACAAAATTATCTGTAAATATATGAAGATAAAAGGACATGGTTAAATTAATACCAATTAGTACTTACTTTATATTATTTTTAATTTTCTTTAGGGCCTTACACTTGGAGGATTTTGATTTAATCTTAACACACTGACATCCTAATTCAGAGCAACATATCTTTTTTCCCATTTAAATTAAATTCCTTAGCCAATGGCAGTGAGATATTGCACTACATGGTTTGAAATTTTGAGGGCTTTAAAGATTATGCCATTTCCATTATTTCTTATGCAGTGATTAAATAAAAGCATAGAACAGAACACGTGGAATGGGTATCATTGTGGTGTAATCCTGTGATGTCACTGCACTCCAAGAATTTAACTGCTTATCTAAGTAGAATGACAAGACACCTAGCAATGTTTGCCAATTGCTGCATGCAAATTTGAAGTTGATGACTTTAAAGCTACATGTTCTAAGCTCAATTTATCCAAGAAAGATCATCAAACATGACAACATCAGCATAGAAAAATAGGTATGTAGTACTCAGAGATCTGGCAATTCTTCATCATGATGTGTTATATCATTTATTGAAAAGGAAGGAATATAAAAACTCAGGGAGAATGATATGAGTTAGTGAATATAGGAAGAAAGGAAGAGACTGTGTTGAGGAAAGTATGGAATATGCTGTTAAAAAAAAAAAAGCAAATCTTAGAAAACTAACAAATACCTCTGTGGTGGTTAATTTTACATGTCAATGTGGGTAGGTTGCTTGGTCCAACACCAGGGGAGATGTTGGTGTGAAGTTACATTTTCTATGTGACTTACATTTGAATTAGTACAAGTTGAAGAACTCTTATTATTCTCCATAATGTGAATGGGCCACCAAAATAACTGAGATTTTAAGAGATCAGGTAGAAAACCCACAAAGAGGAAAGTATTCTGTCTCCAGACTTAAGACTATAATGTTGATTCTTGCCAGAATTTCCAATCTTTGTCAGCCTGTGCTGCAGATTTCCAACTTGCCAGACCATATAATTATGAGTCAATTATATGTACATTTATATAAAGTTATGTGTATAAAGAGAAAGGAAAAGACAATATTCTCTTCAGGAGATTAAAGTTCAGCTGTATATTATATTAATATTCATTTAATAGAGCATATAGACCCTGTTTCTTATTTCAAAATATAATAAAAATCCCATTAGGAATAATTTAAAATGCTGCTTTAGCCAGTATGAACCTAAATACCATACTTTCTTTTCATGGCTTAATAGCTAATTTCTTCTTATTGCTGAAAAATATTCTAATGTATGGGTGTATTATTATTTGCTTATTGACTCTATTATTGAAGGACATCTGGTTATTTTCAAATTTTAGCAATTATGAACAAATCTGTTAGAAGTGTTTATGTGTAGATTTTTTTTCAACTCAACTGAGTAAATACCAAGGAGCACAATTGTCAAATCGTATGATAATTGTTTAATTTTGTGAGAAACTTCCAAATTGTATTTTGCTTTCCCACCAACAATAAATGAGAGAAGGGCCAAGATACCATTATCTGTTGCCTGGCTGACTGCAGCAGCCTCTTCACTGGTCTCCTAAACTTTGGAAGCCATATTATTTGACTGTTAAGCAGCAGTAGCACTGTACTCAATCATCTTCATTATTTTTAGATAAATTTACCTTTATGCAATGAAAATTATGGCAAGTATATATCCTTGAGGTGGAGAAGAAATGAAATAATTTAAAAATATTTTGCATCAGAGGCACATGAGGGAAACATTTATTTAAATAGTTTGTGGCATGCCTTTAGTCAAGTAAATCAGTATCTCTATTAAATACTAATTCATTTGTGATCACATAGCAAGTAGAATATGGTAACAAATTCCTAATGAAGACACAAGCCAGTTATAACAGATTAACCAAGATAATCATTCTAAGTTGGAGAGAAAAAAGTTGAAAGCTAGGTGGATAAAACCTAAATTTATACAAATTAAGAAAAACCAGCAAACCAAAAAAATATAATGGCATATATTTCTCCCCACTCTCTTCCACCTCTCTTCTTGCTTTCCCATTTTCCCTTTCCCTGGCATCTGCCTTGCACATTCTGTTTTCCTCACTCTGAGCACCACAGGGGCTCTTCAGATCTTATTTGATCATGCTCGATAGGGCAAAATCAATTGCGAGTAAAATGTGGAATAGCAATCCTGGGCTTCTGTTACAGTATTGTCATAAACAATGTCCCTATACATTTATCTAAGACATGAAAATATCTGCATACTTACAGATGATAATGCCTCAAATAAAATATAGAAGACTATATTTTGGCCCCATTTCACTTTTGTAATAAATCTGTACAAGTAGGTTGATAAAAAAGAATCTCAAATACTCTAATTTTGCTTTCAGAAATCGAAAAGCAAGATTGCTCTTTAATCCTGTGTTTAATGGCAGAAAGCATAATTGTTTACAACCTGAGTACGCCTAAAAAGCAAAAACTCTGTGGCTGGGCCTCCCTGATGGCACAGGGGTTAAAGTCTCAGTGCTGGGGCCTCCCCAGTGGCGCAGCAGTTGAGCGCTGGGTTGCGAAGCTGCCCACAGCCTCTGCAGTGCCAGTTCAATCCCTGGCTGCTCCCCGGCCTCCGGAGGAGAGTCCCACAAGGCCGGCAGACCTCTCCTGCCACCCGCTGCTCCCCTCAGCAGTGTACTTCGGTCCTTCTGCCTGTTCTGCTCCCCCTCTGGCTCGGTGAATTCTCTCACCCTCCCACACTTCTGACTGTACCCAGTGCTTGTATAAATAAATAAATAAATCTTTAAAAAATAAATAAATAAATAAAATAAAGTCTCAGTGCTACCAAGCTATCACCAGCCACTGCAGCATGAGTGCCATCCCCTGCCAGGTAGCTAACCCACATGATGCAGCAGACCTTTCCTGTCTTGCCTGCTGCTCCCCTTAACGATGTATTTTAGTAGATCCACCTGTTCTGCTCCCCACTCTGTCTCTGCTGAATCCTCTCATCCCCCGCACCTCTGGCCTTCACCCCAGTTCTTGTATGCATAAATAAATAAATAAAAATAAATCTTAAATAAAAAATCTTTGTGGTTAGAAACTTAATATGACAAAATAATCACCGGTTCATCTTCCTGTGGAATTTTTGAAATGTATTATACAGAAAAGAAATGATAAGGAGTATATATGCAGATTTATAAATGTTATCACTGTTGACCTCTGGAAAATGCTTGCACTAGTGTTTGATGGAAAAATCATTTTCAGTTCCAAAGGAGTTGATAAAGCAGAAAATGAGGGGTCCCTAAACACACGTTTGTGTTGATGAGGGACCAGTAAGCTGTGAAAATTGACCCTGCATCTAATCAATGCTTAACTGATCCTTCGATACTATTTATGCTACAAATTTTCTCTTGAAATCAGATGACAAAACTCCCAAAGGACTTATATTTTGGACTAGAAAATTTGTGAGGGAAGAGAATAGAGTAGGAGGCAGCCACGGAAGGAGAGGTCATGGGATTTTGACTCCTACAATTATATCATTGAAAATTCTGTCCACAGTAGACTCTTGAAAATGGTTACACCCACATACTAACATGTGGTATATGCCTGGTTATTTCCAGGCAATCAATGACCACGGTTATACCTATTAAGTATTAAAATTCAAGTACTGGATGCATTTAGGAAAAACTGACTTTTCAAGCTTGAAATTTCTTTTCCTGCTTTACTATCCTTATAAAGGACACATTTCAACAATAAACTAATTCATTCAGTTCTGCCCCTAACACTGCTGGATCCAGGATGGAAGCACATTCTCCCAAATACCATATAATTAAATATTTTAAAGTTATCTATCAAGTGAACAAATTATTATATATGTTCCATTGTTTACATTTAAATAAGTTTCATAAAGGTCTGACAAATTGGATTTGGACTGAGAATTCTCAACTCCTTTTATGGCAAGGCTGAGCCAGTTGTCCATGATTGCCTCCCAATCCCACCCCCTTCCCTGCACACCTATCTCCTGCTTAGGCCCTCACCATAAAAGCCTTGTGATCCCTCATATGGTCCCCAGCATAATCTCCATCAAGCCATCCAGCCTTGAAAGAAGCTGCTTCTTGGCTACTCTTTGTGGTGGGGCCCAATATTCTGGAATCCCTTAGGTCAAAGGAACACAAGAAAAAGGCCCACTAAGACTTATGAGACAGGCTATGGGATCTTTGGGCAGAGAATTCTGGAGTCTTAAAACCCAAAATATGGTAAAGGAACACACTGGGCAGGTTGAGGAAGTCCAAAGTCTGGGTACTAGCAAAGGGAAGAGGACCCTAGGCCACAGGTTCTTCTTGGCTTTGGAACCCTATCACCCTACCATTAAGGGGCCATCATTGAGTACCCTAAAGTAGATGGCAGTATTCAAGAAAGCAGTTCCACTGGCCCTGGGTGAAGGTGGCACCGGACTGACATGTGTAAACATTTTCTAAGTGAGTCCTTGTAGAAAGGTTGAGGGAATTAAGAGAGATGATTTTTCTGCAGTATGGAGAATCTTTTGGGGGTAAGTGGTATCCCTATGGGCAAGTTAATTGTTATTTTTTTGAAAAATACTTGCTTGTGCTTTTATCTTCCTGTATCTTCCCACCTGCTGAAAGTCCTTATGCACTTTAAAGGTAATACTAAAGCTTCACCAGACTTCAGAAATATTTGAGGATAGATGTAGATGATAATGCCAGCTAACTTTAATGCTTACTTATTATGAACCAGACAAGAAGTCAAACTTTACCTCATTCAATTGTCATAATATTACCATGAGGAAGATGTTATCATTTTCATTATTATTATTTTAATGAATAAATTGAGGCACATACACCTGAAGTGATTACTGAAAGTCTTACAGCCAGAAGCAGCTATTTCAAATTTTAAGCTCAAGTCTGATTTCAGAGTCAGAGTTTCTAAATGCTGAGCTATCCGTCAATAAAAAGCATATTTTTCTTAGTATCCAGACTACCTTCACATTCAGTCAATGATACATTAGGCTCTATCCCATCTCTCAGAGTTAAAAATAATTGAGCTTAAGATAATCTTAAAGATAGCAGATTTGATAAGACATATCTATTTAGTACCCTACTTCCTGAGTATGAAATACATTTGAATGAATTCTTCCAGGCTACTACCAAAGCACATTTATTTACTTACTAGTTACTCTTTGTATTGTTCCAAAAAGGACATAAAATGACAGGGTTACAAGTTTATTTTGACAATTTGGGGCTTTCTTTGCAGAGGGGGGCACAGTTTTTCTTCCTTATTATGTCTACCTGATAGCTTTATTCAATGTCCTCTCTGATTTTTTTAGTTTTTGGTTTTTTGTTTTATTTCATTTCCTAACTGTGAGAAGATAACCAGTATATATGAGTGACTATGAAGATGGACCATTTGGTTAGACAAGTCAGTTATCCTGACCTTAGCTTAATTTCCAAGAGGTAAATCCAAGCTAAAAGGAGACTGACTAAGGAGTCTTGAAGTCAGATGCAGTT